TGATGGTTTTGATGGTGACGATGATGGTTTTGATGGTGACGATGATGATGATGGTTTTTCTTTTTTTACAACAACAGGTGTTGTAGGAATCGATTTTTTTTGTGTTTGATTTTTAGCTTTTTTTGCCTAAATAATAATAAGAGAGAATATGAAAAAGATAGTTAAATAATATATATTTACTAATGGAAGATCATCATCATCAGATTCAGCAGTTGTACTTTTACGTTTTGGTGGTGATGATTCAGGTTTTGGTTCTTTTTTAATAACAACCGGTGTCGTTTCTTTTTTAACAACGGGATTTGTTGATTCTGTTTTAATAACGGGTGTTGTTGTAGCTTTTTTATTAACAGGAGTCGTTTGAGAAGTATCTATTTTTGATGGTGTTAGTTCAGCTTTTGGTTCAGTTTTAATCGTAACTGGTGTTATTGTTATTGTTGATGACAATGATGATGATTGACCATTGATTGCTGCAGCTTTTTTAGCCTATAGAAAAAAACGAATTGTTGTGACTAGTGAAACAATTTATTTTATTATTCTTTATTTTTCTAACACGCACAATATCTTTAATAACAGCTCGAAGAAAATATTCAACTATATGATGAATAGACATAATGTATATGTAAATAAGAAAGAAAAACGAATAACTGAATAAATAAGTGAAAACTGGAATAGAATAGGCGCCATAAAAAAAAAGCTTTTTTTTCTCTTACCAATGATTGATTGTCATCATCATCGGATTCACCACTACTTGATAAAACGCGTGTTTTACGTTTTACCGGTGATTGTTGAATAGAAGAATTTTTATTAGGTATTGTTGATGGTTTAGAAGTATTTCCATTTGATGTACGTGGTGTATTATTATTGACTTCTTTTTTAGGGGATGATGCTGATGATGATGATGATGTTGAATTTTTAGTGGTATTTGTATTTGTTGAAAGAGCAGATTGTGGTAATTTTTGACTGGCAAAACTCGTCATGTAGAATGTTTTATAATGTAAATAATGCAAAAATTAAAAAGATTGAACGAAAAAATGAAAATAATAATGCTTATACACACAATGAACAAACGAACGAACGGATTGTTTGTATGTACGTGAGACTTTATTTTTTTTTATGAGACAGACAACTTGTTGGATAAAATTATGAGTCACACCGAGATATGTGTGTTGTGTTGTGATGATGCAATAATAAGAACATTTAAAAAAAAATTTTAGCAATAGAAAGAAAATTTTCATTATTTTTCATTTTAAATCAAACTATAAGCTTTATTATATTTTTTTTAAAAGACAGAATTATAGATGTCACTAACAATTGATTAGTTCAATATAATGATAACTTACATGTATATATATATATTTGAACTCGTGTGAGAATAATTCAAAAGAGAATCCATTGGAAACTTTCAACAATTATCATATAATATTCTTTTCATATATTTTTTTTCATTTATCAGTTAAGAAAAAAGAATATAAGTCATAATCATCCTACGTAATATTCATTTTTCTTTTATCCTAATAAATTATCATTTTAATTAAGTTATTATTATAAAAATATACTTTTAACAACTGCCGACAACACGTTTTCATATAATCAGAATGTTCATTTATTTTTGAATCAGAATTGAAACATCTAACTGTTTTACTCAATTACATAAATGTGAGAAGAAAATAATAAGCAAATTAGAATATTTTTTTATTATTTATAACATGACGATGTAGAATTGCTGTGTGATTCCGTAAGGACCTTATTGACGTTTTCTATCACTTTTTTTTCAGTCACGCAAAGATAAAAGAAAAGTATTCAGAAGATTTCTGATTTGTTATTAATATGAGTATTGTATGGTCTTATAACAACATAATCAACTATCATGCACATGAAACAATGTATGGAAAAAAAAGTAAAGACCTTTTTTTTCAATGAATAAGAAAAAGATTATGAAAATCTCTGTGAGTACTTTTCAATTGAGAAGTTCAAAGACATTGAAATTCTATTTATACATCTCTCTATGTAACAAGACTGCTTTGATAACGAGTTATTAATACAGGATATAACAACTACCGGTTTTTCTGCTTTAATATATCATTTCATCTTTACTAGTTACCAATTAGAATCGATCTTCTTCTCTTTTTTTGACGTTGTTTCATTTTAAATCTACAAGCATCTTCTACAGTATATATTTTATAGTAATATTATCGTAAACCTCTCTTAATAGCGCTTATACTTTAACATATTATTGAAGAAAAACAAATAGAAGAAATTTTATACTTAACATGTATTACAAACATATATATATATATAAGCTTTGAGCAAACCTTTAGTGTTAGTAAGTACACAAAAAACATTTTATAATAAAATATAATTATTACGAACATTTTCTTCCTCGTCTTGTGACTATAGACAAATATATCATTTTTAATCATCGTCAATCTTATTGATTATTTATTGATAAATACATGTCTTCGACTATGTAAAGAGAGATATCGTCACATACATACACACCCAGGCTCTTTTAGCTGTCCGTGACAGTTTAAGGACTGCCTATTTTTTTTTAATATATACCCATATGTATATAATAGCTAACTGTTCCTTCCACTGTCTGACGATGTGCTTTTTTTTGTTTGTATGCCGTAAAGCTGCATATGAAAAGAAAAAAAGAAAGAGTAGAGAAAAATAATAATGATGTTGATAAAAAAAAAGACTATGAAGGTAAGAAAATGCAAAAACTATTTCACATTGCTCTTATCTCTTCCAGCAATAGGGATATATATTGGTCGACTAATTGAACTTCATCATGTGTGTAGGTATATACGTTATTGTAGAAAATGAAAAGGGTAAATTTTTTAGTTGATGCCCATTAGAAGTATAATCGACCTTCTATGTCTTTATTCTTCTTTTTTCTTTCTGTATTTCGTCATGTCTATCATTATGTCAGTTGACTATTCGGCATTTTCTACAGAGCAGGCCTGTCATTATCATTGCATTATAAGATAATGGGGGCTAGTCCAAAAAATGCCTACGAACTTGAAGGGTAAGATTTTCTTTTTTTTGTTTCTTTTTTGAAATAATAAGATATCTTTTTCTTTAATTGATCTGTCTCTTCAAATTATTAAAGGTAATATTGATAAGGAAATCATAGTATAAAAGCAAATGTTTAATACTCTACCTTGACATATATACGTATATAATATATATATATATATATATGTATATTATTGATAAAGTATTTATTGTTTTTCTTACTTCATAAGTCATCATATCGCAAAAAATCAATCTTTATCGCATTTACTGCTTTTTATTATAGCGTATAATCGAGTTAATTTTCTTTTCAATATATATTTTTTCTTTTTATAATAAAAACAAAAATGACTGTTACTTAGTTTTTGTATAAAGTTTATCGATATTTTTCTTTCTGTACTTACAGATTACGAAACATAACAATTCCAAGTAATGTAATAATAAGTGTTAAAAATTTAATAAAAAACAAACAATGGATATATCATCAAATGTAACTATTGATGATTTAGTTATTGACAATGTGGCATTATATGAATCAATTCGTAGATCATTTTCACGTGATCCATTTGATCATTATATTAATGGTCTATGTGGTTTATTTATTTGTCTACTTGGCACTATTAGTAATGCACTTAGTTTTTCTATTTTAATTCGACGAACAATGCGTCTTTCAACTTATGTGTATTTAGCTGGACTTTGTTTAAGTGATTTTACTGCTTGTCTATTTCTTATACCTGGTTATATATTAGACGCATATCCAGTTGAAGTACCGGATTTTGAATTACCACGAACTTATACTTATACAAAATTACTTATTATTGCCGGTATATTACTTGTAAATTATGGGTTTCTAATTGTGTTTTTTTTCTCTTATTCATTCAGGTGCCATTAGTACAACAGCTCGCGCTCTTAGCGTTTGGCTTTGCGTAGCATTTACGATTGATCGATGGATTAGTAAGTTGATTAGTTGCTCTCATATGAATATATATCTCTTTTTTTTATCTTTATAGTGATATGTCGCCCATTTGTTGGTCCACTTTATTGTACAATAAAAAATGCACGACGTGTTAGTGTGATTCTTTATATTGTCGCTGTTTTTTATGCTGGTCCACTTATGTTTGAATATCAAATACATCAAGATAGATCTTTAATAGGATTACAGCTTGTTGATCATAATAAAGAAATTTACAGATATAAATTAAGTAAATTAGGTAGTAATTCGATATTCCGGTGGACTTATGTTTTAATCAATGCAATGGCTGTTTATGTTATTCCAATAACAATTATTGTTATACTTAATAGAAAATTACTTACATCCATACGTTTATTAGAACAACGTTCAGCTGAATTTAATGCTCCATTACCAACGAAACAGGGTAAATATAGATGATTCTATTACACACAATCCATAGAAAATAATTATTCTATATATATATTTATATATATATATGAATTTTCAATATGCCTTCGTATTATTTTAATAGAATTTTAGAAAAGAAAATGCCGATATATTACAACTAAAATTAATAGGTTTTTTTTTGCATAGTAGAAAAAAAAAGAAGAAAAGGTTAAGTTGTCTTAATCATGAATAGGATCTATGACAATCAAATTAAATATTAATGTTGATGTTTTCACGATTATTTTGTCAAGAATATTTGCTGCTTATCTTTAACAAAACAACCCTTGTTTTTTTCTCCAAAGAATCAAAAGATTAATTTATTTTAATACGATTTTTTTATCTCAGACATGCTATTCAGCTTCAATATTTATATCTCTAAGAAAACAATAGTATATATTTACTTGTTTGTAGGTGTAACAATAATGTTATTAGCAACTACTGTAACATTACTTGTATTTCGTTCACCATCAGCTATAATATCTGTAATGTGGTTAATTAGTGCAAAAATGTTTATTAATGAAAAACCTCCATTTCCTTTACGAAAATTCCATTCAATTGCTAATCTTTGTGCAACAATCAATGCAGCAACAACATTTATAATGTTTATTGTTTATGGTACAAAATTTCGATCAGAATTTACACGTAATTATTGTTGTATGTTTACTAAAATGACTCAAAAAAAATCAACAACTTTAATTCGACATGAACAACAACAATTAAAATTAATATCAAATAATAAAACGAATGAAAATGATCAACAAAATAATGATATTAAAAATATAAGTCATTTAGCAGTATCTAGTAATAATAATAATAAAGGTAAATTTTATAAACGTTTATCAAAACGTAATAGTAGTAATGCAACATCAACAGGCACGACATCAATTGGATCACTTTCACCAAAGAAAGAATTACGAAAACATCGATTACCATCTGATCCAGAATATAATTTAATGATGAATAGTCTTAATAATAATCGACAACATGAAATAGCAATTCCAGAAGATGAATGTAATGGTGATCAAACCAATTCAAAATCCGTCTTATTAACAGAATCCTATTTTGATTGGTTTAAAAATCTTCTTGGATGTCGTTAAACAGTAAAAATTGATTTTTAATGAACAGTATGATTTAATAATTGTTTTTATTTTTTAATTACATATCAGTTCTTCCCTTTTCCCATGTTGTTTATTATTGAGTTTTTGCTCAAAAATTAGCAAATATATATATATTTATGTTTTTGTCTGTATGTATGTACACTGTATATATACATCTTATTGTTTAAAAGAAACGAACATTTTTTTTTATAGTAAATTGTAAATATTCATACTAACAGACGATTGGAACAAAAAACATATTTATTATTTACACACAGACATCTTTCTTTCGAAAAATATCGCAACGTTCGCTAATAAACTAGTATTTTGATAGATATTTTCAATTAGATTTATCACTCATTTGTTCACAAAGCACATAGATTGAAAATATCTAAATTGTAGTCTCATTATATAGTAAACAGATATTCAATGACGTCAATAAAGATGTAAAGTAGTAGTGATGTAAAGAATGATAAAATAGTATTAGAAAATAATCAGAATAGTTGTAATTCAAGATTTTTCTACTGAGCAAAATAATACCTGCGAGTATGATTTCATGTATATATATATATGGAATAACGATAATAAAACATAATAGAAAATTATTGGTACTTTAAAAAGAACATTAGATGAGAAAGTATCATGAAACGAGAATGTGTTACAGATGTCATTTATTTCCTAATGATAGATCGAATAGAGAAAGAAAATATTCGTGCTGTTATCTATTTGAATAAACAATCATCATTCATCTAATAGTAGGCTGATGTAAAAAACAAAAAATATCTCTGATTGTAGAAAGTCGATATATTATTACAAAGTAAATTGATATGTAATATCATCTAATGAACATCCCTTTTTAGTAACAAAATTATCTTTGAAATTTTAGTTAATTCATAATCATTTCCGATATGTAGGCGAAGTCTTAAAATAAATCATAATAGTTCTAGATGCAATTGAAATAACAAGTAATGAAAGATAAAAATAGTTTTTATAAGGTCGATAGGTTCTTGATAAGAAAAATAAATTCAATTTCGTACAACTATAATTAAAAACATATGCTGATTAATATATATATGAACGACGTATTTTATTTTTTATGTAAATAATTTGCACGAAACAACGTGTCTTTATAATCAATAGAAATATATATTGACTATGAATAAAATACAATCAGATAATTTTCGTTTCTATTTATACATATTTTGAATATATAAAATATGCACCTAAAAAAACTTCGTCATTCTTTAGAATAGTATTTAAATGATTTAATGATTATTAACAAAATATATTATAAAAAAATGCACGTTAATGAAAAATATTCAAATACATTTTCTAGTAGATAGATGGTAGATTTTGATCTAATTTATATGATTACAAAGCACGCAAGTATCGCATATGGTTTTTATGTAGTTCTGTCTAAACTAATTATATAGATCAAAGAAGATCAAAATAATAAAGTAAAGAACTGACTATGTTGTTCAGGATTACATCAATAGAATCTCTTAAATTTTCCATCAAATAGAATTTGTGCAATAATAACAGTTGTTTTTTCGTATAAAAAATACTATTATTCTAATTACACCTAATATGTGTTAGAAGTCATACACAATTAGAAATAACAACTGTTGTCTACATGTCAAAAAAACATATAGAAATAGAACTACTCAATATAACCTGATCAATTTGTACTCATGATAAGAAAAAGAAAAAAATGATGGTTTAATTTAGCTATTGATGTTAAAATTTTGATATGACTATTAGTAATCGTTTCATTTAACTTGATTTTGATAAAATTTAAATTTTTTTTTCAAATATCAATCTTTTGTAAATGTGTACCAAATATGACTCTATTATCTATTGCGCATACACATGAAAAGTATTTGATGTTGTCCTGATCAGTCTACCCAACCAACGTATAATATCTGCACCCTATTTGCATTATTTTTTGACATCTTTTGTTTGTTCGAGAGACATCAATTTATAACTTCGATAAATATTGCATTTCTATAGAGAGATGTATTTATGAAGAAAAACATATTTTAATTGATGTGAATAATTATATCGTATTTGATCACTTGTCAACATTAAGCGATAATTGCATATATATGCTGATAAGTAACATAATGATCAAAATATGAAAGAAAATATCTTAAGTAGAGATACCCTTTTCATATTAATCTCTAATGACTTCTTAGACAAACAAAAATGTAACCATCAATCGAGATTATATCAAACTAAAAAGTACAATTCTTTTGTCGTTCAAATGAAAATTGAAATATAAAATACTTTTTTTCTTAGTTTATATTTATTTACTATTTTTGATTATTAATAATAATGATCACACATTTTAGCTGATTATAGAAATTGCGAAAATCGACTTTTGATACGTAATCAAAAAATTTACATGTTTTTTTCTACTTCAAAATTCGTCCTTCAAATTATAGTAACCTTAGAATTTATTGCATGCTGTTATGTGCATTTAATTAACATTAATCAACACATATATATATAAATTTATTCTGGAAGATGGAAGAATATTGTCAGCGTTTGTATAATACGGTTTGAAGATCTGTCAACGATGATGTAGCCATAACGTGGTTGTCAAGTATTGCTTATGTTATGTGCATGTTTTGATAAAAATTAAAAAATATGTACATATGACAACTTTTAAGTTTTTAAGAAAGAAAAAGAAAGAACGAATAATAAATGACATTTTATTAACTGAGTGAGTGATTATTCACTTGTTTTGGCTGCATAAAAAATATAAGAAACAAAATAATACGAATTGTTGCATTTAGCAATCGTGGTCTGAGATGTCACGAGTAAATAATGGATTATTTAGTCGTGCAGATATGAAATCTGTCGACATGTCCGGTTTTACAGCGGGTCAAAATCCAAATCAAAACTACTGGCCAATGGAAGGACAACCAATGGCACCAACAGGAGTTGGTATGTTATACATTATATTAATTCTATTTTTTATATATCAAAATATATTTATAAATGATAATAGTTGAAATTGACGACTCTGTACAATTTCCTTCACAAAATCCTCAATCTCACGGTAATCATCAACACAATCATTCTCATACAGCGCCAATTAATCATCATCAACACAACCATTCTCATTCATCGCCAGTTAATCATCATCACCAACATCAACATCAATCAGATGGACATTCTTTTCCGTCACATGATCATCA